GCCACCTTAGGCGTATGTGGCTGGCGCCTTAGCTGCTTGAGCCACAGGCGCCGAGCCAGTTTAGTTATTTTCTATAACTATTTAAGGAAAATGACCAAAAGTACCACAATAGCAGGAGTGTATCACTATTACGAGATTGAAGGTGAGGGGCATCTCCCAGTGGAGCTCAGCTTACTCATTATAAGTCTTTTCAGTCGGGTCACATCATGATAAGTGTAGAAAAGCAGGCAGTGAGACATCTCCCCGTCTCTTCCAGCTCTCCCAGATTCTTGGTAGTAACCCTCCACGGACTTAGGGAGAGATGCATGGATTACAAACCGCACATCCGGTTTGTCAATTCCCATGCCAAACGCCACTGTTGCACAGATAACCTGATAGAAAAGCAAAAGCCCATTAGACTCATAATGCACTTAAAGGAACATTTTAATAAGAGATGCTTTCAAAATCTCTATTATTTGTTTCACTTTAAAATGTACTTTACACAACAACCCAGTATCTTCACTTGGCCCCACTATTTAGCGTAACTAGTATGAGATGTTCATGTTGATAATTTGCAATTCTGTTAAAACTCAAGATGGTAAGAGAAGCCGAGGGTGGCAGACCCTTTTTGTGTGCTTTGGTGCTACCACAAAAGGAAGCCAGGGTCATCTGCAGCAGCCAGCCCATGATGCGTTGCCAGTGTCTGGTCTGTTCCTTTTTTGTGAGTCAGAGTCTCACTGTTGACCTGGCTAGAGTGCCAGGCGTTACCATAATTTACTGCAACCTCATTTCCTGAGCTCCAGCAGTCCTCCTGCTAGGATTACAGGGTGAGCCACTGACTAGGCCTGTTTTCTGATATTACTGCATAGGGGGTGTTGCTCACATACCCACAACATCCAGGTCAGCAGCTCAGCAGCTACTAACTGCTCATGCTGCTCCTGAGGCTCACACCTCCGGTGACTCAGGAGCAATGGCATTCTTTTTTTTTTTTTTTTTTTTGTAGAGACAGAGTCTCACTTTATTGCCCTGGGTAGAGTGCAGTGGCGTCACAGCTCACAGCTACCTCCAGCTCTTGAGCTTAGGTGATCCTTTTGCCTTAGCCTCCCAAGTAGCTGGGACTACAGGCAACTGCCACAATGCCCGGCTATTTTTTGTTGCAGTTTGATGGAGGCCAGGTTTGAACCCGCCACCCTTGGTCTATGGGGCAGGTGCCCTACTCACTGAGCCCACAGGTGCCGCCCAGCAATGGCATTCTTACCTGCTCCACTGCTCACTGTTATTTCCCCGGTGGAACCACATACCAACACCTATTATTTATCAGCTGATTCAAAGTCAAAACTTGTGATTTTTTTCTTTGAGACAGAGTGGTATATTCGTCAACACTGAGTCTGGCAGTAACCCCAGTCCAGGGGAGTTACCCATCTAAACCTATAGCACTTAGATTAAAAGCAAGTCTTAGCTCAGCACCTGTAGCACAGTGGGTAGGGTGCCGGCCACATACACCAAAGCTGCCAGGTCCCACCCTAGTGTGGGTCTGCTAAACAACCATGACAACTGCAACAAAAAAACAGCCAGGTGTTGTGGTGGGCACCTGTAGTTCCCACTACTCGGGAGGCTGAGGCAAGAGACTTGCTTAAACCTAAGAGTTTGAGGTTGCAGTGAGATGTGATGCCACAGCACTCTGAGGGTGAGTGAGACTCTGTCTCAAAAAAAAAAAAAAAAAAGGTCAGAAGAGGTCTGCAGGATTCTGTGAGATAATTCTCACATTATTTGCACTCTTTTGAAAAACTAAGAATATAAGTAATAACAGTTTATAAGTATTGGGGTCTTGTCTGAAATCTTGCGCCTTAGAAAACAGGCAGGCCAGAACCTACAAAACAGGATTAACAACCTGCTGTATGGAACTCTGACTGCACTGCTGTTCGCCCAAGCAGATAAGGGTTGATAGCCCTCTGTGCAGGGAAACAGGTCTAAGGTGACGTGTGTATAAAACCACGTCCTCCAGCGGGTGGCTTCCAAACTCCTTGAAAACAAAGCTGTAAAACTTAATTCTTAGAGCTAAATTGAATGCCTATAATATAGATTACCCCTTGCTTCATCTGTTCATTTTTTACCCTATAGAAATAAACTTAGGAATGCATGGTTGCTTAAGAAATAATATAGTTGTTTTTAAGTCAGTTTTCTGGATTCAGTGTTTCCTTTTAAGGTTAGGATAGAATAAGGAATATTAATTATAAACTATTGATTGATATGGCGTACGTGACTTACTGACTATAAAAAGACCCTTTGGAATAAAGATGATTGCTACTTGCCATCCCATGAGCGGCAGTCTGTTTCTTGCATTCATACAATTTTAGGCGCGGACTAACACTTGAGGCAAAGCTCTCTCTGTTTCCTTTCAGAACCTCCAACCAACAGGGTTCCATGGGCCCAAGTGCACATCCTGGCATGGGGTGGGTGAACACCTTTGAGGCCCAGTCTATAAGCACAAAGCTACCAAGATGCCAACTCCTCCTGGAGGCTCTTATTTTCCATATCTGAGAAAAATTGACCGTGTTTAATTCTAACTTCCTTCTTTGTGTTTTTAAAAAACTTTAGGCTACAAGCTACAATCATTTCTTTGTAAAGGAAACAATCAAGTTTTATTCTGTCTCACACATCTAAGATCAGGGCTGTCCAGCTGGTGTAGGATAACAGTATAGCTTGACTGTAAGGATTAGTGAGTCTGAGAGCAGGAACAATTAGATTTAAAAACAAACAAAAAAAACTTCAGCTACACATGGTGGCTCACACCTATAATCCTAGCACTTTGGGAGGCTGAGGCAGGTGGACTGCTTGAGCTCACAGGTTCCAGACCAGCCTGAGCAAGAGCAAGACTCCATCTCTAAAAACAGCTAGGTGTTGTGGCAGGTGCCTGTAGTCCCAGCTACAGGGGAGGCTGAGGCAAGAGAATTGCTTAAGCCCAAGAGTTTGAGGTTGCTGTGAGCTATGATGCTATGGCACTCTGCCAAAGGTGAAAGTGAGACTCTGTTAAAAAAAAAAAAAAAAAAAAAGAGAATTAATTTTTAACCATATTTCTTTCTTTTTTTTTTTTTTTTTTAGACGGAGCCTCAAGCTATCCTCCTGGGTAGAGTGCTATGGCATCACAGCTCACAGCAACCTCCAACTCCTGGGCTCAAGCGACTCTCCTGCCTCAGCCTCCCAAGTAGCTGGGACTACAGGCGCCTGCCACAACGCCTGGCCATTTTTTGGTTGCAGCCATTGTTGTTGTTTGGCGGGCCCGAGCTGGGGATTCGAACCCACCACCTCAGGTGTATGTGGCTGGCATCCTAGCCGCTTGAGCCACAGGCGCCGAGCCTTAACCATATTTCTGATCAAAGTATTATATATCTACATATATCTTCATTATAGATTATACTACTACACATAAAGATTTTAAAAACTTGGAAAATAAGCACTCTTAGTTACAGTCTTACTTAAAAGTGATCACTGTTAATTTCTAGACTACTTCCTTCCAGGCTTTCTTCTAACAATACTAACAATATTAGTACTAATTAGGTATTTATTATACAAAATGATGACCACATTTCAGATTAGAGACTCTTATTAATCCAGTCACACTGGTTCCAAGAAAAGCTATCATAATCACCAAGTAAAAGTGCATCTTAAAGCATTTTTACCAGTGATTAAATAAAAATTTGCTAATGAAAAATGAAAATTGTTTTTTTTTTAATCTAGGCTTATTTGCTTTTTGAGACTCATGTTTTTCTCATAAAAAAATTTTTTTATTTTTGGCAGTTTTTGGCCTGGGTTTGAACCTGCCACCTCCAGCATATGGGGCTGGCACCCTACTCCTTTGAGCCACAGGCACTACCCCTTCTCATAAAATTTTTTGGACAGTGCGGCGGGTTCAAGCCTGGCCCCACCCCCCACCCCAATTTTTTTTTCAAGCTTGGCTTGGCTCCTATAGCTCAACCAGCTAAGGTGCCAGCCACATACATCAAAGCTGGTGGGTTCGAATCCAGCCCAGGCCTGCCAAACAATGACAACTACAACCAAAAAATAGCTGGTGGCGTTGTGGCAGGTGCCTGTAGTCCTAGCTACTCGGGAGGCTGAGGCAAGATAATTGCGTAAGTCCAGTAGTTGGAGGGTGCTGTGAGCTGTGACGCCACGGCATCCTACCCAGGGCAACAGCTTGAGGGTCTGTCTCAAAAAAAAATAAATAAATAAAAATAATTTTTTTTGAAGTTCTTCTGTTTTATTTGCTGAAGATACATTTCCTATTTTGTTGTCTTTTGTTTATCAATGTAGATGTGTTTAGTTTTTAAGTCATTTCTAGCAATTATTTCCTTTTGAGCTACTTTTAAGCTTAAGTACTCCTCTACTGCAAGTATACCATAAAATACCAACACTTATATTTATCTGTAACTTATTTTGATGTGAGAATCTAAAATTCCTCTCATTGGGTAACTGGTAACACTAGTTGGATAATCTTCCCTCCCTCATTAATTCTTTTTTTTTTTTTTTGAGACAGAGTTTCATTTTGTCACCCTTGGTAGAGTGCCAAGGGTGACACTCTATTTTTAGAGATGGGGTCTTGCTCTGGCTCAGGCTGGTCTCAAACTTGTGAGCTCAAGCAATCCACTCCCCTCAGCCTCCCAGAGTGCTGGGATTACAGGTGTGAGCCAACGCACCCAGCCCATTAATTCTTTTTTTTAGAGACAGTGTCTCATTCTGTTGCCCAGTCTGGAGAGCAGTGGTACCATCATGGCTCATTGTAACCTTGAACTCCTGGGCTCAAGTGATCCTCCACCCTCAGCTTCCCACACCTCCCTTATCATATGTTGTTTTTACATGCTTTCCAGTCTATTTCTGGAGTTCTGTTCCATTATTCCATAATACACGTATCCTACAAACTCAGGCACAGGTGTTGTTATTGTGATGTTTCTAGTTAATTCTACATTTTCACTTGACTATTCTTCCAGGTAAACTTGAGAAGTTTATCAAAGGGAAAAAAAACTCTAGAAGTTTGACTAGTTTAAATTTCCTTAATATGGAAAGCTTAAAAAGTATAATTATTTCAGTGACTATGTAGTATAAATTGTGAACTTTTTGCATTCTGAAAATGCCTGTTTTCAACATAAATGACAAAGAGCTGGATATGGTCTCAGTCTCTACTATTCTGATTCTGATGCAGACTTGTCTGTTTTGATATATATATACCTGCTACGTATTTATTTATCATATATTTGACCACTACTATGTGTGCACCTGTTTCAACTATCTGGCATGCTTCTGGAGGTACACTTACTATTCCTTAGGCTGAAGCCCTACTTCCTGTTGCCAACAAGTATCATTTCCACCCCCCCATTCTCAAAATATTCACTACATCACTGATTCAACTGTCTGTAGTGAGTCATCTCACATGTGTGTTGATACGTAATTCTGCTATTAGTTTTGTTTTTCTTATTTAGATAAACCACATTTTTATTTCTCCCTTCATCTCAGCCTGTGATCTTATGGAAAACTGTTTCTAGTTCATATAAACTAAGTCTTTTTAAATCTTTCTGAGGACGATAGGCTGATGTCCTCTAAACTTTTCTTCTGTTTTCCAGCAGTAATTAATTTTGAGAAATATTTTTCCTCTGAATCTTCAGAATAAAGTTATTTTTTTCTAAGCCTCAAACAATTACTGTTTGCTTAAATCCAAGGTTGATATGTGCTATATGAGATGCCTAGAGTGCTCTCAGCTCCCCTACTCTTTCTCTTTCTTCTTTTTATTTTAAATAAAGTCAGACTCAAAGATAATCTCAGTTTCCTTCTCGGCCCACCTGGGTAGGGCAAATTTATCATCTTGAGAAGAGACACCCAACACCATTGGAAATTCCAATCAAAACCATGAAAATATAATGCTTTTCACCGGCAAGGATGGATAAATTTAAAAAGATGGTAAATTACAAGTCCTGGCAAGGAAGTGGAGACATGGAGCCTCACACATTGCTGCTGGTAGGAATGTAAAACTACCTAGCCACTCTGTAAAACAATCTGACAGTTCTTCAAAAAGTTAAACAGAGAATAATATGGCCCAACAACTCTATACTTAGCTATGTACCCAAGAGAACTGAGAGATATGATCACATAAAATCTTGTATGTAAAAGCTCACCATGATTCATAGTAGCCAAAAAGTAGAAATGACCCAATGTCTATCAGCTATGAATGGATAAATTGTAGTACAGCCATATAAGATTTGACAATTAAGTTTATGAACCTGTCCTAAAAAAAGTGCTGCATACCTCACTGCTGAATATCACTATGGTCACATATGAGGTACTCCCCTTGGGAGGCTATGCACTGATGTCAGCACCTAGCCTACTGTTCGAGGCAATTTTGGAATTCTTTTTCTAGAATGGCCATTACCCTTGATGTAGTCCTATTACCCTTGATGCCCTGAGTGTCATCAAATTGTCTTCCTTTTAGTATTTCCTTTATCTTTGGGGAAAGAAAAAAGTCACTGGGGCTAGAGCAGGTGAGCAGGGAGGGTACTCTAATACAGTTATTTGTATACCAGCTAAAGACACCCTCACAGACAGTGACATGTGAGCTGGTACACTGTCATGACGCAAGAGCCACACCTTTCTCCATCTACAATTTTCAGTTAAGATTGTCCTGCTTCTCTATTGACGTTTACTTGGTCTGCTATGCTTTCAGTTAGCCAATGATTCTGATGCACAACTTGACAATATTTTGCAATGTTTTTGTCAGTTTTGCTCATTTCCTGGCTGCTTTGACCTTTCAATCAGTGACACTTTCTCTCCCCTCAGAAAAATGTTGACTCCATTTGTACACTGCTATTTCCTTCATGGACTTATGCCCATAAACTTGAGCTAACATGTCCTGGGTTCCACTTCTGCTCTTGCCAGGTTTTTATTTATTTATTTACTTATTTTTTAGATGAATTGATTTATTTGACATATTAAATAGGCAAAGATAAAATATTTGCAACCTCACCAAAAAAATCACATTGTCATACTGCTTCAACACAGCAGTGGCTAAAAACTATGAACTGTAGCATGGACCCCAGGACATTATGCAAAAACACCCTCTATAGAGACTTTTCAGGCCTCTGACTTTGCAAATCCAGCACTAGCCATGCTCCTTTACACTCCTCAGCCTCCTCCAAGTCTTTTTCACTTTCTGACAACTGCTGAAGGTCAGCATATGCAGCTTCTGATCTGTGACCATAAGCCAGGGTTCTCTCAGGTTCTCGCTATGCTTTTTTTTTTTTTTT